TTGGAAAACACTGTGACCTCAGGAACCTCTGTGGTGAGGAAGCAGCATTGATGTAAAGTGTGAATATACCTCTGCCCTGAGGTTCTGCCTTATGTCCTGGAAGAGCCCTCCTACCAGCGTTTCCTCTGCTGCTGGTCAAAGAGGTCTTATTTAACTTCCGCTTGGGAGCAATGACACATTGCTTCTGCTTTATTCCTGTGCCCTGCTCTCTGTGGGCATGTTCAATAAAGTAGGAGGTTGATGAGAGCTCTTCTAGAAGGATTTAATGAATATATAATAGAAAGCCCCTTGTATTACATGGGAATATGTGATTTTAGAGAAAGGAGATGATAAAATTTCAGCAATTGCCATGAGAAGATCTGAGAACCTCTTGGAAAGAAAACAATGCAACTTGGTATAAAGGGATAGATTCAGCAAAGAGAGGCGGAATGGTGGGCACATACCATTGGTAGCAGCAGTAGAGTTGGAGCGTTTAATCAGGTTGTCCAAGCCGTGTTTCATCAGAGCAATGTTTGTCAGTGCACCCTGCGGGTCAAAACCTCCAAATTTGCTCAACATAGGCCACCGCCAGAGAGTCTCCTTTCTCCCCAGGTCCACATAGAACTCTTCATCTCCATCAAATTCATGGCTGTACTGGCCAGAAGCACCGTAAGACTGGTACAAGTTTATACCGCAAGCGGCAACGTGGTCAGCTGATGAGTGAAGATGATAAGCGGGAGGGTGGAGGACAGGGGAAGAAAGAATGTTAATACACAAAATGATGGAAGAAACTGACTTTCAAATACTATGGGCTCCATCCTTGGCACAGCCTGTGGACATTTCCAGCCCCTGCTTCCTTCCCTTTCAGTGTTGGTAGTTGTCTGGTTAAAATTGTGCCTTTTTCCCACTAATAGTGTGCACTACACAAGGGTAGAATATCGCATGTCCAATGTTTACTGTATTCTGAGTGCCTGGCACATCATGGACTTGTGATGAAATAATGTAATTGAACAAAATAAAAAATGAATGAGTCATCATAATATTTGGCTTTCTTAGTCAGAGATTAGGTTTACATCCTCCTGCAACCTAAGATTTATCTTTCATTCAATTCTTTCGTCAGTTAATAACAAATGGATTACACTTTCTTTCTTCTCAGGACTGGCTCAGAGCAGGAAACTATACACTGAGATGTTTCGTTTTTTAAAAAAAACAAAAAAAGGGAAAAGCATGCAGAATCTTATTAATGTAAAATAATTTCTGCTAACAATTATAGGGTATAAGAAAGAATATAACAAAAACGATAATCACATTACAAAATATATAATAAATAAACAATTCTTCCTTCTAAGGTCTCTGTTTTGTTAATAGTAATGGTCCTTAGAGGAGAGCAACTGATTTCTTCTGAAATGAAAAGTGGAAGTTCTACTAGTTTTTGGATTTTTATCATTCCCCCTACCTTTTTTTTCCTCTGAAGGAGGTTACTAAATGTCTACAGAGTTCTGACTGAACACTCAATACTCACATTCACTTGAGGACTCAGGTAAATTAAACCCTTTTTTCTCTAATGGGCAGTGTGCCTATCTGAGGATGCCAGAACAGAATGGCAGCCGTGCAGCATGACTCCAGCCAAATGATCTTAACTGAACATTCTTGTCAAGACATGTGTAAGCCTTTTACCATTGTATATTTCCTTCCTTCCCCACCTTCTGAGCATCTGCAAGGGTCAGACAA